TTGGCGCTTTCAACTGTGGCGCTACAAAGTCTGTAGGAGTTAATGTCGCCACAGGTTTTTTCTTTATTAGTAATGTTAACAGAACAGCTGACAAAATTGTACTTGTACGTTTAGGGACAAATAGTCTTCTTTCGGAATACTTCTGTATTTTGGCCTCCTGGATTAGCAATACAAATATGTGTGCCATCTATACAATCTGCGGAAAATGGGCTACATTATGAAAAAGCCTAATATCTATTACGTCGTTTCTTCTTTGCAAGAAGTTAACATATTCATTTAAATGTCTCGCAAACAATATAGATACTCTTTTAATTATGTGTGAAACAGAAGATTGATTATATTTCTTTAAATCGCCAAGAACAATCTAAAAATACATTACAATGTCTTTAGTTTATATATAGTATATTATTTTATAGTATATTAAAATATACCTCATAAAAAATCAATTTAGGTATCAGATGACATAATTTTACTTGAAAGCTATTAGTGGCATAAAACCTTAATACAATTAGTAACTGCATCAAATAAAATTGGAAGTCCTCGCATAGTTTTCCAAGTCTTGTACATATTCATAGTCCTTCCTTATTTTAAGAATGAAGGAAATTTCCATGAAGAATTTCTCGATTCTCTAGGTCTCTTTGTTTCATAAACGGATCTCAAGTCTGCCTTCTCGAAGGAAGGAATATTTTAGGGATTTTAGTAACCTACTGAGGGTAGCATGTCATAATATATAGTATATGCATATCTAAAATTGTGAATTACGAATAATAAAGGTTATAAAGGCATTGTTGATTAAATAAGATCGTGATTAAGCATTTTGCAACAATAATGGATAAAAATAAAACTAATAATGAATTTTGATGAATTTTGGACGCACTTATTGCGCACTGATGCGCATTAAAACCACCGTATATACACAAAATAACTATACTAATAGTAAATATATATTTATAAATAAACATAGAATAAACATAAAATAAACATAGAATTAAATCGATTAAATTGTGAAACACTCAATACATTTTATTGTACTGTTAGATAAAATATGTATTTTATAATTCGAAATATTTGTATTTTATTTTTTACTCAAATTAAATTAATGTATAACGATTTTAATATGCATCAGTGCTTCCAATTCGAATTCGCCATAATGCTTATTATATAAAAATGCTTTTAGAGTTTATTTCCGAAAAAAAACTATCAAAAATAATTATCGATACATCAGATTTAAATTAAAATCGAAAGTAAAAAGACCAGTGTTTTTGGAGATTTGCTTGGTTATGAAGGCTACATCTTCTCCTCAAGGAAACTCGTAACTCCCTTGAGAAAAGGAAGCTAATAAGCTTTTTGTTTGATCAAAGAAGGTTTATGAAATGAGGAACAAGAAATCCTCATTCCTCAAGGAAAGACTATGAATACGGATATTGTACTATTATCGGCAGCAAAATATCTCGTACTGTTACTTTCTTAAAGCGAAATCTTTTTCTGAACTCTTCATTGGAATAATATTCAAACAGATTTTCTACGTCGCGAATATAGCGTTTTTGTAATTGCATTACAAAAATGTCATTTCCAATATCATTATAAAAATTATCAAAGTCTTCCATATTAGTAAAGATTCACAATATTCTGAAATTCATAATCAGATTCATAATCATCTGAAATTTTGATAACAATAAATTCAATCAATACTTACGTTTTCGCATAAAAATAAAGATTCCATAAGAAAAAAACGTGCTCTTTTCATAAACCGAGATATTAAGCGTTAAACTTGACGACTATTGATGTTAGGAAATCTATCACAGCTACATAATTCACAAAACTGTCATGTCTTTATACACAAATCGTGCGCGCACGATTAGGTCATAAATTCTATTATACCTAAAGGACTCCTTATGAAAGTTCTTACCCTTCCTTAAGTGAAGGAAATTGATTCTAATCCACAGGCGTCAAACATAGTATATCTTGAATGCGTTCGAGGAGACGCTATTCGCGCTATTTAGCGCTACAAACTGTTCGCGGAGCTGCAGATAGCGCTAACAAATACGATTACTAATGGGTGTTATGTCACAACTATCAAAGCTATTCCTTCCAAAGTAGTGTATTGGTAGCGTTTACAGATCCGTGAACGACTAACATAGCGTTGCTAGCTTTTAACATTTGTCAAAGTTAGATTATATGTTTGAAGGGATTCTGTTCTCGAGTGGCACCAAATTTTTCTCTCTTTAGAATTTCGTAGGGTAAACGTACGTAACGTGTGAATTTCAAATTTTATTGTAGTGAATGCAATCTCAATTTCAATCTCTGCAATTGATGGCTTGTCACTAAACTGGAGTGAACGTAATTCTTGCTTGTGTATCATCTTTAACTTTTCAAAGTTTCTGCAGAGTTTCAACTTGTGTATTTGATTTCATTATAAATGTGAAAGTCAGAGATATCTTGTTACTAGCGATTTTTAATTCCCGTGTACAGAAAAAAGTTATTGTATAATGCGGCAAATGTTTAAGGTCCTTATTAAATGTATATACTTCTTCTCAAATCGACAATGCTCGACAATGTTCGAATGCTCAAGAATTCTTCCTTTTATTTGATTAATTTACTCAATGTAATTATTAATTTTTTTATCTAGTTTACGTTGGGTTACGTTTACTCCGGCCTAGCGGCAAGCCATCATAGAAATTGCAATTGAAATTGCATTCTGTTATTCATTACGAAAAAATTAAAAATTTGCATTACATATACTTTATAAAATCCTAAATTTAAATTATAAAGAAAAGTTTGATCGGTGATTAAAAACAGAATCCCCTACATTAACTTAACCTCGACGAATATTAAATCTCTCTGATTGAACGCTCCCACGCTACGCTAGGATCGTTCATGGAATTTGCTAATGCTATTGCGCTATTGCGATGGAGTTTGTTAATGATATCGCTGCTCCACGAACAGTGTTGGTAGTTTGCATCTATAGCGCGAATAGTGTCTCCCCGAACGCATCCTTGACATTTTGAATTGATAAACTCGACTTAAGGTCCTTCAAATATTCCTTAATACTTGAGGTAGGATTATGAAGGAGAGCCTACATACATCTTAATTATAAATCTTTAGAATCTAGAAATACGTCCTAAAACTATGATTCAAAGTAAAAGCAAAATTTCAACTCGGGCGAAATTTATCCGTCAAGTTACGACGATATGAAGACAACGAATCTCTGCAAAGTAAGTGACAGAGAGAGAGAGAGAGAGAGAGAGAGTGTGTGTGTGTGTGTGTGTGTGTGTGTGTGTGTGTGTGTGTGTGTGTGTGTGAGAGAGAGAGAGAAAGAGCGCGCGTGTGTGGGCGTTTATTATGTGAGACAGAATAACTCTATGTCTTTAGACAACTGATTGCAACGAGTGTCCTTTGGTTGCTCGCGTCAAACAGTGAGTGCACCCGACATCGCCCCTGCTTATCTTCTATCTACGCGTCCTATGATTCGATAACTTTATCTTTAATAACTCAAAAAGTATCAGATAAAATTTTTGTAAAGGAAAAATCGTCTTAGAATTCAGCCAAGAACACGTTTGTGCAAAGACACGGGGTTTTTTTTTTAATCATCCCTGTATAATGTCATCGATATCTTTCGATTGCGACCAGTGCGAATAAAATTGGAACTAATATCAAGATGTGGAGAGCGTTTCTCAAAAAGGGACCATTTCAGATTTTCAAATTTTTTCAATTACGTGACACATACATATAAAGCGTTTTGTTCATTAAGCTTTCACAATGCTTTCATAGAATTTTAATTTTAATATAAAATTAAAATAAAATTAACAACAAAAGTGAACCTTAATGTATATACGGGTATAATTTGTGTATATGAGACAAATGCTGGATTCACACTGAATCCGACGTGCGTCGTATGACGCTCTGCAACCAATCAGAAAACAGGATTTTGCTTCGTATCATCGATACGAAATAAAATTCTGCTTTCTGATTGCAAAACATCGTATGATAGATGTTGGATCCAGTGTGAATCCAGCAAAATAAAAAGAAAGCAAGAACGAGCAAACGAGCGAGAGAGAGAGAAGAGGGAGAAAAAGAAAAAGGAGGGGGGGGAGAGAGATGGATGACGACGACGACGATGATGACGATGACGACAACAATGATCAGCAGATTCGACTGTTGTACAACTGTTGCATGAAAGTCTGCTAAACGCATTCCGCAGTAACCGATAGTGTTTAGTGAGCGAACGCCATTTTTTCATCAAACATTTTCTTCGCTACTTCAGCTCAATATGTTGTAACACAATATGGCGGCACCCATGCGTAAGATATAAACACATTTGAGGTTAGAAATCAGACATTAAATAGACTTAATTTACGTCTTGTAACTATTGACAATTATAGTTTTGTATTCAATAATTTTTAATAACATTTTCAGATTCAATTTTCTTCAGTTTCTTTGTTTATCGCTTTCTCTGCGATATTAATTTCGTTCGCAAAAACTTCGATCTGCGATATTACGTTTGTGCTTAAGAAAGCAGCTACATCAATTTACTCTTAAGTGTCTATATTCCTTGCTACTAGGTGTACCATGTAATCGCTACATTATAAAATCAAGAACTAGATTTAGTATAAAAACAAATTGGCAAATCGTTTTAAGTTAGTATATTTGTATGTCGGTTGATTTTTATTTTTATTTAATCAATTGTTTATTTTTATATTTCTCAATCAGAAAAGGATAAGTAATTGATAAATAAAAATTAATCATCAACATACATTGGCAGTTTACGTCTTGTAATTATTAACAATTATAATTTTGCATCCAATAACTTTTAATAACATTTTCAGATTTAGCTCTTTCAAAACATCTTTTTTATCAGTTCTTCCACAAAATTAAAAGTGAATATTTTGCAATAATAACTCTAAAAATAATAGGCTCGCTTTATTAATTAGTTAACAGTCGAACTTTATATTGCAATATTGTGCTGATTATGAATCATAGAAAATACGAATCCTATCACTAAAAATATAGTATTAATTATATCATCAATAATGCAGAATATTCTATTACTGACGTCCATGAAGTTCACTCAAGACTACAGGTAAGTGTATAATATATCAACTTATTTTTCACATACCATTCATACATATCATTCATAACTAGTACTTACTATCTTTTTGTCAATATTATTTTATCAAGAATATTTTAATTATATGTAATCATTTTTATCTTCAATTGGAACTTTTTCTACGCAAATTGATTTAAGATTTGTTATCTTTTAATATTGTTCTTTTAATATTGTACTGTGTGTCAACTATTTAATACAATAATTACTTTTTAGATGTGACTGTTTTGTCGCAATATTTGGATGATAACACATCTGCTTCAATTTTGAATTTCTATTGTAGATGATATATACTAACAGTACAAATACTGGTATGTAAATCTTTGTGTAATCAATTTATTATTAGAAGAATAATAAATATATAATAAATATATTAATATATTTTTTATATATTTATAGGATCTGAAAGAATTTTTCGTGAATTATGCGGTCGACGAAATTGCTTTTGAACAGTTATTTAGAGTGTAAAGATCGTTTTCACAATTCTAAAGTTAAAAAAAAGATTTTTAACCGAAATTCTTCAAATTATGAAGGAAAATGGTTATAGTGATTTAAATGAAGATTTCCTTGATAGAAAGATGCGTAATATGAAAAAATCTTATAAAAATATAAAGGATAACAATAATAAAAAAGCTAGCACTGGTCGAGGAACAAATTTCGTGGAAGTACGTCAATACTTTTGAAGACATATTTGCTAATGACATGACGATAAACGGCAGTTCAACACTTTCTTCGATGCAAGGAAATAATGAAATAACCGCAAGTGAATCTTCTCAAGATGATAATGAAGTAATCACACTTAACACATGTTTCAGATTTCTCTAACATTTGTAATAGTTTGAACATCTGGTACTTATTACTATTATATATCGTTATTATCATCTTTTCAGCCAATTGATCCAAGTTCATTTGGCTGTTCCTCAAGAAATTCCTCTGCAAGTGTACTAGTCCTTGCACTAGTGTAACGCCAACATCGGAATTATTGCGAAAAGCTACTCGATGAGTCTATATAAACTACGGCAAAGACAAATCGAAAAAAAACGCATTGACACCATGTTACAATTTAAGTCGTCCAGATCAGAATAATAAAATTCAAGAAAAGAAAAACAAATTGATAGAACAATTCTTACTTTTGAAGAGCAATCAACATAATGAAACAGAAAAGAATACATAAATAAAAGTTTTATTTTTCAATACAATTCTGATTAGAATTAACATTCCAAAGATAATACGATACATTTGATTTAGTTTTATCAATAAACAATTTTCTTTTACTTAATGTACAATGTATGTACTTAATGTACAATGCTGTTACTTAATATACAATGAGAGCTTTCCAGCATGAAATCGATACAAGAATCAGTCTGTCCTTGTTTGATAGTGAGAGATATATATCATCGATTTTTTAAACATGAAATAATTTACTATATTATCTTGCTGGAAAACATCTATTATTTCGTCATTTTTCGTCAAATGAATTGTTAATGTAATAAGACATCATACAGACATAATAGTATCGATATTATAACAATAAACAAAAATTAATTCAGTATTAATAAAACACAATGTTATTTCAAAAAAATTTCTTTTTCTTATTGTAATAAATCAACTATTTCATTTGTCTTCGTTATCGCAGGAATACATATTATCGTTAGGTATATCTATATCATCGTTTGGTATTGCCACCACTTCTTCGATTGATGGTTCTTATTCGAAATCAATTTCATTTCGATCAATTAAAAAATTATGCAAGACGCACGTTGCTGCTATGATAATATTTCCTAGAACTGAGTCAGAAATAAATACTTTAATCTTCGGAATTTTTTTTCAAAAGACCAAATGTTCTTTCGATAATAGCTCTGATCATACTTAATTTAATATTGTAATTACTTTGCGCTCTCATTAGATGACCATTATATCACGAAATGGTGTCATAAGATTTGGCATTAAAGGATAGGCAGAATCTCCTATAAGATGCATATTAAAAGATAATAAAGGATTTTCAGCATTATTTAGTCGTGCAAACAACTCGCTCTGCCTGAATACCCGAGCATCATGCATTCGTCCAGACATTCCAATGAAAACGTCTATAAAACGTGCCTTGAGATCGCACACCTTGTAATAAATATAATCAAGTGTATCTAGTTTCTATTATAAAAGTCTATAAGAGTTGCCTGTGGGAGCTTTTAAGAATATAGCGATCATTAATCGTCCCAATAACACTGGGAAAGAACATCTTTGAAAAATCTCTTCCACATTACAATACGTTCGTCTATCAGGCGTAATAAAATTTGGTAAGAAATTAGCTATAACGGTGATAACTTCTTTAAATACGTAGTACTCTGGGATAAATCAAAACGATCTCCAGCAGCGAGGAAACTTTCTGGTTTAGACAATGAGAACATAACTTTTTTTCTTAAATCCACAAAATTATTTGGATTCCCATGTATGGCATTTCCTATTATGTGAACTAGCTTCTACAAAAATTTTCACACAATTAATTTAAATATTGAAATTAATCTTTAAACACACTTGTAGTTGTATAAAATTTATTATTTCAAATATTACACGAGACATTCTAAAATGTTTCTTAAATAAAAGATCATCGTATTTAGGAACGATAATTTCGTAGTAATTACGATTTCTAGGTTTTTCACCACGTTGCCTCACTTCTAGTTCATCTAATTCTGGTTCTATTAATTCATTAAGCATAAGATGCAATATGTTCATTCAGTCATTATGATCATCATCTTCAAGTAAAGCAACAATATCTAAATTCTTCATATCGTATATTGAAATATTCTTATTTAATAATGTGACAACTAAAATGTATTAAAAAAACACAATAAAAACAAAATGTTTGGAAATTACTAATAATTACAAGAAGTAAACTAAGTCTATTTCTATCAATGTCAATTAATCCCCATTTAATCAATTATTTATCTTTCCCTGTTTCTGAGAAGTAAAAAAAGATAAGTAGTTGGTTAAATAAAAAATAAAATCAACAGACATACAAATGGACATTAATTTAAAATAATTTGCTTAATGTTTAGTTGTAAACTAAAGCTAATTTATTTGATTTTATAGTGCAAGTACATGGTATACCCAGCAACGAGGAACGTAGACAAGTAGAGTAATTTGATGTGTAGCTGATTTCCTTTTTAAGCACAAATCATAGATGATATCGTAGATCTTTTTGATGTTAAGGCTCCTAGTTGTGGCAGCCATGTTCGTGAGGTTAGAATGACACGTTAATTTATGTTGCATTTTTAAATAAACGCAATTTGGATGAAATGAAGGAAGAATGACGAGAACACTTTAAAACACTTGTAAAAATTGATGAAAACTGTCCTTTCCTCTTTTGACAGTCAGCAAATGATCATAAAAGGATCACGTAAAGTGAGCCTATATTCGGGAAGAAACACATGGTCCGACAGTTGTTGAAACGAGTAAAATATACTTTTACATATAAAATTCCAAGATAACTTTAGTTTTCATCGATAATTACGACTTTGATAAATACGAGACAAGTCACATTTTCACAATTAAGCAAATACTAACGAAATGGCACGCCACATAAATTTTGTCGTCAAAACGTCACTATTCCACGCCTATAAGTTCGGCCATTTATCGTGGTGCAGCGCTATAACAAACAAGCATAAATCCATGCCTATGTACTCGCCTGCGAGCTGAGAGTGAACGAGACAGCGAGCTTCTTCTCACAGCTTGTTTCAAGCGACCGAAAATGCTCTTTCGGCAATTTCGGCCGCTATCAATGAGGGGCTATCAATAAGGGGCAGGGAGCATACTAAATAAGTTTTAATAAAGTTTTAATATAAATTTTAATAAATTGTAGTAATAATGTACCTCTTCCTTAATCCAGAATAATATATAAATCATGTTAATACACAATAATTTACGAGATATTTAATTGTTTCATGCGCGTTATATATCTCTAGTATATACCTCTCCTCCAAACTCGAGTAGCAAGAATAATTCAATAGAAATAAAATTTTACCGGAAAAAAATTATAAATTAAGATTTCTTTTCACGAAAGTCTCGAAAGACCATCAGAAAAGAAATGCGTACATTTGAGACTCGAGACTTGTGAAGAAAATAAAGCAAAGCTTTGAAATTCTTATAAAATGTAACCCTCGTAATGACGAACAAAGCTCTGAACAAGCCTGAAAATGTTCATTAATTTGTGCAAAAAGCCATTCACTAAAAACCTGTCTGCGGACTTAATCTTTCTTTATCTTTGAGCAGTCGCACAGCAATTTACAGGGATTTTGCTTCTTCAAGAGTTGCACTATCACTTAATAACAAAACGATTTTTTTTGCAGTTAAACTATTGTATTATATATAAAACTACTTTAAAAAGTGGATCTTTTTCCGTATAAAAAAACGGAAATAATTTCGTTAATCATATCAAATAGTCGTATGAAGCATTCGAAATTTAACATTTTTCTATGGATTTAAAAAAAAATTACCTTCCGATTATTAGGAACCGAAATAATAATTTTTTTCAATAAATCATTGTGGCTCTCGTTTTTAAGATTAAGAGTTCAGTCTGGCACCAATTTGTCAAGGAAGAATTGAAGTTTTGCTGTTGAAAAACTTTCGAATTTTTTGCTACCGAAAAATTTTGTTTAAAAACATCTGAAAGTTGAAGAATATGAGCAATTCAGTACGCTGGGCGGAGTGAGGGTTGATAAAAAACATGTTTTAAAAAAAAACATTCAGTTGTTTTTTGTTTAAAACATGTTTTTAACATTTTATATATGTTTTAAATAGCTTAGAAAAAAAAATCATGTTTAAAACAAAAAAAACACCTTTTAAACATATATTAAATATTTATTATATTTTATTAAAACGCATTTTTACTTTCAAGTATTTTGAAATGTTTCTGAGATATATTTTAGCATTTAATTACACTTACTTCCTCATTTTTCTTAAATTTGAACATATTATCACATAAATATATGTATATTTGAATGCATTGTTTGCTATTGGGAGTACAAATTAGTTCGGTCTATTTCCCTAAAGATAGCTGTTGTAAATGGTTCATAGTGATAGCTGATTTTGGCGGTTTCAGAGAAGTAAACATCTACTAATAATATTCAGTTTATATCGCTTTGAATTTCATACAAAAACCTTGATTTTTCCTGTGTTTGAAATATCGAATTTTGTGTTAATCAAGTAGCATTTGCGGGAGATTTTGATTTTCTGCTTTAATTGGAAGAAAAGTGCGGCCATCGAATGCTTGTCGAAGTTTATGGTGACATGCTCCAACTGATAAATCATATAGGGAATTTCGACGTTTCAAGGATGAAGATTTCAGCGTGAAGACAAGCCTCGCTCTGGATAGCCAAAAAAATTCGAAGACAAAGAATTAGAGGCATTATTCGAAGAAGATCAGAGTCAAACGCAAGAGGAGCTTGCAGAATCATTGGGGGTAACTCAACAAGCCGTTTCTGTACGATTGAGAGCCACGAGAATGATTCAAAAACAAGGAAATTGGATGCCTTATGAAATGAAACCGAGAGACGTTGAAAGGCGATTTTTCACTTGCGAACAGCTGATTCAAAGACAACAGAGAAAAGGTTTGCATAGGATTGTGACTGGAGATGAGAAGTGGATATTCTACGCCAACCCCAAAAAGAAAAAATATTATGTTAAGCCCGGTCAATTGTTGCCATCGACCTCAACATCAACACGGCCGAACATTCATAGTTCGAAGATCATGCTCTGTATCTGGTGGGACCAAAAGGGTCTTATTTACTATGAACTGCTGAAACCTGGCGATTCCATTACGGGCGTCAGTATCGACTACAATTGATTCGTTTAAGCTGTGCATTGCGAGAAAAACCGGAATACGAGCAAAGACATGATAAAGTTCTTCTTCGTGACAACGTTCGGCCTCATGTCGCTAAAATCATAATATTTGGAAACGCTCAAATAGGATGTTTTACCGCATCCGCCGTATTCTCCAGACATTGCTCCTTCTAATTACTGATTGTTCCGAAAAATACAGCATGATTTGACAATTCACCGGTTCACTTCTTTCGCAGAAATCGAAAATTGGCTCCAAAATTGGATCGCTTCCAAAGACCAGTCATTTTTTCGAGATGGAATTCGAAAATTGCCTGAGAGATGGGAAAAAATAGTAGGCAGCGATGGACAATACTTTAATTAATCTGTTCATTCATTTTGTTTTGAAATAAATGCATTTTTGAACACAAAAAACGGATCGAACTAATTTGTACTCTCAATATTTAACATTTTATTTGACTGTATATATTTTAAGTTATGCAAATTTAAACAATAGCTTTAGATTTTTACTATAGATTTTTAGACTGCCGAGTTGCTTATACACAGAGTGTTTGGAAAATAATAATAAATCTTTCGCATAGGGAATGAACTAAACAGAATGGACTAAATTGAAAAGAAAAGTACCTCTACCATTTTGTAATTTTCGTAGTTAACAAGATATTAATTACTAAAATAGTTAACAAGATATTAATTGCTAAAATAGTTAACAAGATATTAATTGCTAAAAATTGACGAAAATTGGCCTTCAAATCATATGGGTTGTTTAAAAAGTTATTGCATTTTTTTCATTTGATTTTCAGATGTGTTTATTTAATATACGTAATGAACATTAATCAATGATATATTGGCCGTTTTGTTCGATCTTCTGCCATCTCCCGGGCAACTTCATAATATCATGTTCATAAAACTTCCCATCTTTCTCTGCGAAAAACTTGTCTAGGTACTGTTTGATGAGGTCTTCAGAAGCAAACGTTTTATCATTCAAAGAGTTTTGCAAGGAGCGAAAGAGATGAAAGTCTGATGGTGCAAGGTCTGGGCTATACGGTGGATGTGGTAACATCCCAACCATGTTGCAACAATTTTTGTCGAGTAACCAAATTTGTGTGTGGTCTCGCATTGTCGTGGTGAAACACCATACTCTTACGATGATTGATTAGCTCGGGACGTTTCTATGCGATGGCATCACTTAATTTCTGCAGCTGCTCACACAGACATCGGAATTAATCGTTTTGCTTTTTGGAAGTAGCTCATAGAAGACTGGTCTCTTCCAATCCTACTAATTGACAACCTTCTTTTAGTGAATCTCCGCCTTTGCTTGCCTTCCCAGTGCTTCATCTCGCCTACTCCAACTTCTTTTTCGGCTGACATTGTTGTAAACAATCCATTTTTCGTCGCCCGTGATCATACGCTTCAAAAACGGATCGTTTTCTTGAGTTGATCGCAGACGCTCATGCGATTCGTCAGATGAATTTCTTTCAACTCATGCGGTACCTCGAGCTTCTTTACGAAGCCTAGCGATTTCAAATAGCCATGAACACTTCCAACTTTTAGAGCGGTAGCAAGCTCCCAAACCGTTGAATGCTTATTTGCATGCTTTCATTTCATCGTCGTCAATCTTGGAAGGCCTACTGGAGCGATGAGCGTCTTTGACTGAAAAATCACCATCACGGAATCGAGCGAATTCTGGCACTGGCGTTTTTGACGACATTTCTGCCGTAAACTCGACGCAACTTTTCTCTTGCTTCAGTTGCTTTCTTCCCTTTTTTGAAGTAATAAAAGAATATGGCGAATATGCTCTTCAAAATGCTCCATGTTCAAACCACAATTGCAAGCACAAAACTCGACCGAATCGCGTCAACTTTTTTTTTGGTTTTTAGGTTGAGTGTCAACAACAAAACGCGCGTAAACATTTGACATTCATGTCACGCTCGCATACAAATAAACTTGGATAACGCCATCTATTGGAAAAAACGCAATGACTTTTTGAACAACCCAATAATTTTTATTCAAATACTATCAACTTTACAGAAAAACTGCAAAAAACAACAATTGTTTATTTCCTTCTCATAGAACTCTACGAATTTTTATCAACTTTTTAGTACTACATTTTCTCATTTTTACTAATATAAGAAAATATGGTATTAAAAAATTCTTAAAACTCTCTGAAAAGAAAATTAACAATTATCTCTTGTAGTTTTTCTGTAAAATTGATATTCAAGTAAAAAATTATTAAAGACCAATTTTCGGCAATTTTTATCAATTAATATCTTGTTAATTGCTAAATGATAAAGGATTTTTCTTTTTAATTTAATCCTGCTCCCATGTGAAAGAGTTACCATAATTTTCCAAATACCCTGTATACACAAAGTTATATGTAAAGGTATACATGTGTATGTATATACGTGGGTCGTTTGATAAGTTTGGTAAATTTCCATGAAATGGCGCTACAATCCATTTGATGACGCGACATCTCGAAAGATCCACTCTTCGAACTCCTTCAGGCCAAATTTCAGCCAGAAAGGACGCATAGTTCACGTTTGGTAGTCATTTAAAGTAGGCTGTCTCAAAGTCTGCTAAATACTCATTGACGGCGACAATAACTTCCTCATTTGATGAGAATTTCTTCCCACCGAGCCAAGTTTTTAAGTTTGGGAATAGAAAGAAGTCACACGAGGCCAAATCCGGAGAATAGGGTGGATGAGGAATCAATTCATAGCTCAATTCGTAGTTTTGTCATTGCAACGGTCGACTTGTGGGACGGCGCGTTGTCTTGATAGAAGAGCACTTTTTTGCGCGCCAATCTCGCTTCAAATGACTACCAAACATGAATTATGCGTCCTTTCTGGCTGAAATTTGGCCTGAAGGAGTTCGAAGAGTGGATCTTTCGAGATGTCGCGTCATCAAATGGATTGTAGCGCCATTTCATGGAAATTTACCAAACTTATCAAACGACTCACGTACATTTACGTATGTATACATGCATATATTTTGCAATACACTCTTTTTTGTTAATTTTATAACCAATTATTGTTTTCTAAACAAAACTAACTTTTTAAGACTATTTTTATGGAAGGCCACATTATCATCCATGTTTCTCTTCATCGATTCATCATTATGCAATGTTGTCACACTTTTAATAATGTTCTAAGTAATAAATATTTCATAATTTTGAGTCCAGAATCGATTCAACAATAACATTTTAATGAATGTAATTGTCAAGTTTTAAACTTAAATATTCATTTATTAACTAAGTTATCATGTAAAATGTAACTGGAGTATCACCTTCTCCTCTACTAAATAGTATTAAAAATACATTTTTTTTAAATAACATTTTAAACATTTGTTTTAAATTGTTTAAAAAAAAAATTTTAAACAAAATAACCCTGGAGAGAAGCCGGCGCGCACTCAAGTGGGGAAGATTGATCCGCTCGGCGATTCGCGCATATTTTATTTTGTGTATTAAATTTTGCTAAATTTATATTTTCTCAGCAATAAATTGTCGTGGAAACCTGATTTTTTTTTTAATCTGGGGTAACTCGACGAGATATAAACAATATTATAACTTATTACTTCATATTACTTATTACTACATATTAATAATATTATTTCATATTTATATCCGCAATTCATAAAAATAATTTCGTACTGATAATTCCATACATTTAATTGTCCAATTGGACACTTTTTGTTAAATAAAGAGACATAGTCAATGTGACTTAAATTTAATAATCAGACATACACTCCATACTTAAATATAATTTTTTAGTAATAAACCGAAAAAATAAAAATTCAAGAAACAAAGAACTAAAAATTTCATGATTACAATTACTTTGCGAAACATTTAAGCTATTTGTTTATATCTCATCGAGGCCATCAGAAAAGAAATTTGAGAGACTTGTGAAGAAAGTATGCGAAAAAAAATCGAACAGTTGCAAAAAGCAGTTTTTCGCTAAAACAAAAAATATTGCTGTATGGAAAAAGATATCCCCTTTTTAATATCGTTTTATAATAGTTTAACTGCAAAAAATCGTTTTGTTATTAAGTATATATGATAGTAACAACTCTTGAAGAAGCAAATTGCAAATCTTTGTAAATTACTGTGCGACTGCTCAAAGGTGAAGAAATTAAGTTTTCCGCAAACAGATTTTTAGTGAACAAATAACTTTTTGCAAAAATTAATGAACATTTCAAGCTTATTCAGAACTCGATTTGTTCGTCATTACAAGGGCTATATTTTACAAAAATTTCAAAGCTTTGCGTTTAAATCTCAATGAACATAGAGCGAGTGAAAAAAAGGTCTTTTTCGATGTTTTAAAATTTTTTTTCTACTGAACTAATAGATCGATTTTAATGTTCCATGTCTTATTTTGTAGGTATTTCGAATACCTACATTTTTTTACCGAATTTTTTTCCATACAAGCAATATCTTTCATTTTATAAGCGAAAAATATACTTTTTGCAACTATTCGATTTATTTTCTTCAAATCTCAAACATACGCATTTCTTTTCTAATAATCTTTCGAAACTTTTGTGAAGAGAAATGCTGATTTATATTTTTTTCCAATAAAATTCTTCTATTGAACTATTCTTGCTATTCTCGAGTTTATGAAGGAGAGATATGCTATATAATGCGCATGAAAAATCGTAAACAATTAAATATTTCGTAAATGTTACGTTTTAACATGATTTATATTATTCTGGATTAAGAGGAGGGATATACTATTACAATTTATTAAAATTTACACGTTATTTAGGATACTTCCTCTTATTGCCTAGGGCCGCCGAACGGCCGAGATTGCCGAAAAAGCATTTTCACTTGAAACGAGCTACTAGTGGGAAAAGGAGCTCATTGTCTCGTTCACTCTCGGCGCGCCGCAGAAGCACACGGACATAGGCTCGTGCTTGTTTAGTATTACAGCACCACGATAAATGGCCGAAGTTATAGGCGTGGAAAAGTGACGTTTTGACGAAATTTATGTTGCGTGCCATTTCGTTATTTGCCTAATTGTGAAAATGTCACGTACTTATCAAAATCATAATTATCGATGAAAACTAAAGTTATCTTGGAATTTTATTTAAAAGTGTATATTTTATTCGTTTCAATAGTTATCGGACCGTGTGTTTCTGCCCAAATATAGACTCACTTTACTACCTTTTACGACTATTTACTTATTGTTAAAAGAGAAAAGAACAGTTTTCATCGATTTTTACAAGTATTAAAGTGATCTTGTCACTTTGTTTCATCCAAATTATCTTTATTTAAAAATAGCACGCAACATAAATTAACGTGTCATTCCTCGCTTCTGACGTCTCGATTCCAACATGGCTGCCGCGACTAATCAGGAACCTTAAGTATAATCTTAAAATGTCGTAAGTCAATTCGAGGATTGTATTAGCATCTTAAGACATTATATTTAAGACAGTTTTAAAATAAAAACGGACTATCGTCCTATGTTTAGCATTTCACGGTTGGTAGCTCCTTATAAACAGTCCTAGATGGAGAAGGCAGATTTAGAGAGATACTATCCACACCATGTTATCCCTTTCACTATGGGACGACTTCCACGCGAAACGATTCCAAGCAGAAGGGAGGGAATAGGTGGGATGGGAATCGTTTTGCATGGAAGGCTTGCGCCCCCAAGCAGGAGAAAGGGAGGTTGAAATAATTTCCTACTTTAAACAAAAATTATATTATATATGGGAAATTAATATTTTCAAAGACAATTTTTGATTTTAGAGCAGAAAATCTGTTTCCTTGATCTTGACAATACATGTCAAGGTCAAGATCATCCAAGATGGATCCATTGTTTTCAATATTTACTAATTATAAATTATAGGAGGAACGAAAATGTGACGTTATTTCTTAAACTTTTTTATAACTTTTTACCGAATAGTGACCGCCATCCAAAACCTGTTGGAGGATACTTAGGATCATGACCTTGACAACATATGTCAAAGTTAAGGTCATTGGAGGTGGCTTCTCTTTTGTATATATTTACCTGTTTTTTTAACTTTTTTAAAAAATAACTTTTGGTAAAGCTTAAAGATGTCTTTAAAAAGATATGCATGTTATCTAAGCTGACATAACTATGCCATTTCAGAACAAAGAAGAATATGGGCCATACTAGATTCAAAAGAGGAGTAATACATCTTTACAATATGGTAGTATGCGCTACGGGATGTAATCCTTTGGCTTACAAAGGATATGGTTGTTACTGTGGATTCTTGGGATCCGGTTATGTCATCGATGGAATCGACCAGTACGTTATTTATATCTGTAGGGAAGCAAATCACATCATTTACAACTACGAGTTTTCCTTCACAAGAAATAAATTAAATGTGTTCCAGATGCTGCAAGATGCATGACTGGTGTTACGACGCTACGGAATGTCCTATGTTCTCGGAATACTTTGTACCATATTACTGGAGATGTTATCATGGTTATAAACCTGTTTGTGGTTTGTTTATTGATTATTATTCATTTAATTTTTTCCTTATGCCAATATAATGTCTTTTCTATAAATTAAACTTGACTTATTTATGCTATACGTAAATAAGGTGATATAATGAAATATAAAACAATTCGTAAAATCTTTGTTACAGCGGTTAAGCATGGCAGTTGGGGCGGATCAGGAGCTTGTGCTCAACGTTTATGCGAGTGCGATCGTTTGTTAGCTGTTTGTTTGAAGAGATATCCTTGCCCTACTACCAAAGCAGTTTGTACTTCGTCACCATGGAGACTCGTACAAAATCTTTTCATGATTATATAAACGTATTTTTATTATAATAAGAGTAACTTATAAACGTATTTTTTTTTAAATAGCACAGATTATGTTTAGAAACACAAAAAATTCGCTTTATTTTGTAAGATTTGACTTTCGAGAAATGACTCGCAATATCTAAAATTCATGACTTATACATATCATGTTAAAAAATTATATTTTTACTCATACAGCACATTTTCTTAAGACCTAGAATGTTCTCTGGAAGTTTTTAGAACGTTCTTTGGAAGTATATTGTATGAGTAAAGGCCGAAAATTCGAATATCAAAGAAAGTATTGATTATTCTTACAAATTACACATCTTTAGAGATACGTAAGAGGTCACGCTATAAACAACAATGATTATTATATTATAGTATCTTGTTTATTTTTTTCGTTCTCTCTACCGTTACTTAAATTTGTTCTACTAAGGTAATAGATTTAGAATATATAAGAATAAAAGAATTGTGTGTGTGTGTGTGTGTGTGTGTGTGTGTGTGTGTGTGTGTGTGTGTGTGTGTGTGTGTGTGTGTGTGTATTACACAACAGCAAAAAGATCATATGTATTACACAACAGCAAAAAGATCATATGTATTACACAATAACAAAGTCATACTATCTTTGTGTATTATTAATATTTGATATATAATCAACAATTTTTTTCTCCTTTAATATCTACAATGTATTTACACCTCCGGTTAAATGTACCATCCTATTTTTATATTTCTTAGAAATATTTCGCTCTATCTGTAATTAAACACAGCCTTAAAAGACATTTAAAAAAATCGAAGTTTATTATTTTTGGTTTTCCCCGATGTCGATTAGTTCTCTCGTTTTTTTTACTTCATGAACAGTTGTCATTGCATATTTTGACAATTGTATATCGAGGAATTAATAGTGTTATGGTAACAATTTAATATTAACTGTATGCACTTAAATATTCAAATATTTAAGTATAGTCAAAAATAAAAAAATTCATGCAAAATAATGCGTGCGAAACGATGTCTAGAAAATAACAGCATATGTCATTATTTGATAATGTAGCATTGAAAAAAGATGGCATACCTCTGTTTGCAATTCCTTAGTTCTTTGTATGATGAGTTTTAATAATGAACGTAATTTATCGATTTGATTTCGAGTGTCATCTTGCTTTTGTCGCACAAATTCTTGTTGAGTTATCATTCTATCAATCAAATTTAATTTTTGCTTTAAAATAATAGCTACTATGTCCACGTATCTGCAATAAAAATATGTACTAACATGTTATATTAAAAATCTGTAAAAATAGAATACACACACATACACACACACACACACACAAAGCATTTGATAAGTAACGATAAAACTCTCGCATAGAAGTATAGCGAACTAAATTGAGTCAAAAAGTTCTTTACAATTTCATTTTACAATTTTCGCAATAGTTAATCAAAAAAATCGCCCAATATGGATTATCAATAACTTTTTACTCAAGTATCAACTTTATAAAAAATCAATAACTTTTTACTGAACTATCAACTTTATAAAAAAAGCAAGTGACAAAAACTGTATTTTCTTCTAATCTGTCTGAGAATTTTTCAGAATTTTTTAGTATCATATTTTCTCATGTTAGAAAAATAGTTAGTGTCAATAAGAAAATATTAAAAAGTTGATAAAAAATTTTGAAAAAATTTTGAAAAATTCTTAATTAAAAAATTATTGAAAATCAATATTTGGTGATTTTAATTTAGTAATTGATATCTTATTATTTATTGCAAAAATTGCAAAATGGTAAAGGACTCAATTTAGTCCGTTCTATCTCTATGCAAGTTTTATCATTACTTATCAAACACTCTGTATATTATATTTAATTAATTATACTTTGGATAATGTTTAATGTTATGTAAATGTTGGACATTGTTATGCAACATCTCAGACAGGATAACTTGAATGTTATTCAGCATGTTTTGAGTAGTCTCTGTGGTAGAAAGTTGCAGAATAGATGAAGCATTCTGCATCTGATTAAAGCTGAGAAGATTATTCTTATCGTCGCCTTTAAATTCGTACAGACGTAACTTCATAAATGCCTCCAGCTATAAAAAAAAAATATATATATATATACATATTTATATATATAATCGATAGCTCTCTACATTTTAT